CAGAGTATTTGAGTTACCTAGGCATATTCATATCTGTAGTCCCTATTTGTCACCAACAAATCTGAAGACGTAGTAACAGTGTGAAGAATTTACAAGCGTAAACAAACCTAGCCTTTTATTCGCAGGAGCACATTTTTTACTTTACGTTATCGTACATATCGCCAGAGTGATGGTCGACAACAGATGTTTCCCCAAGTCAAAAGTCAGGAAAGACTTTTCAGTTTGGAAAGTGTACTATAAGAAAGGAGCTGACAAAGCGCTCTGCAGAATAAAGCTGTTCACGTTGAACTCTGCCTCCATTTCCAGGAGTGCCTTTAGATAGATTCTCCTCAAAAACGTCAGGCAAGTGCGGTTACTGTTGAACGTTCACTCGAAAATTTTTTCGGCGGACTTACTCACCGGCCAAGCTGGAGAAGTGCAGAGAACTGAAAACAGAACTTTACAAGGGAGCCAGTGTGGGCAAGGGAAACCGACGAACATTGAACGGGGGAATCATCACCATCTAATGGTCATTCCTCTGGAGACGGCCAATAACGCTGAGCGTTATGAACATCAAACTTGTCGAGAAAGAACGCTCATATCTACCGAACAAGTTAACGAAAATGACAACGTATTGACTTCTAATCCGACCAACAATCAGCAGACTTAAAATCAGACAACAGGGTAGATAACCTGAAAAAAATTCCCGGCTACCCCGACCCACACCCCGTTCAAAAAGCTATCCCAGTGAAACTGCGCTTTCCGTATACGAACGCACATAGTTTGTTTTAGAAGACAGAGGAGCTTAAAGCATGGGTAGCAGACGTAGAGCCGGATGTTATCTCCATTATTGAGACCTGAGTACAGGCCGACGTATACAGATGATTATCAGATTTTTCGCCGGGAGCAGCTACATAAAAAAGAGGGATAGTGGTCCTTATCAAGAGGAGAATTATAGCATAGGAACGTAAAATCAGTTGTTCCCATGAATTTGAAGTATTTTGTCTAAAACTGAAGATGCGTGGTGCATCTACTGTAAATTTTCTGACTGTCGATAGCCCTTGGATAAATGAAAGAAATGGTCCAAAAGGAATACGAACTGATAGTTGGAGATTTTAATATTCCATTGGTCGACTGGAACAAGTTTTTAATAAAAGTTTCATGTGATTCATTTAGTTCCAGACTGCTAAAACTAAGGGTGAATCTGTTTCTCGTGCAGAATGTGGGATTTCCGACAAGAACCAAAGCAGCACAAACAGTGAATAGTCTAGCTGCTATACTTTCGAAAAAGCCAACTAATGTAGATGATCTCAGGTTAATCGCACCGCTCGGCAGGAGCAAACATGTCACCAAGCATACGAAAAATACTCCGGCTCGGCTAAATTACTGGCACGGGAATTTTCCCGCAATGAAAAGTTAACTGTCGATATCATTCGGAGGTTTGGTAGATTTGCTTAATTTGAGTTGACCCAATTGTGAAAAAGCTCGAGGCTTTTCGCGGGATTTGAACCCGCGTATAGGATAAGGCCTTTACTGGCAGCCAACGTTCTAACCGCTAAGCTACAAACGCCCCTACTCGCGCCATGAATTTAATCACAATTGGGTCGATATTACCCGCCCAACCCTACCGCCCATATGGAATCCACCAATACGGAACAGCAAGCTGACTGCCCAAGCAAGATTTAAGAATCCACCAGTACGACTACTGGGCTGACTTAATTATTAGGAGGTTTGGCAGATTTGCTTAATTTG